CATTTCATATCTCTTCCTCGACATACATTGGGAGTAAATGGGGTAGAGCAGATGGGGCTACTGCTCCAGTAGGAGCGGATGGAGGGCTTCTTTATGATGCCCATCAGCATAGTCAATGCCCAGAATCTTTTAAATTCTGGCACATAGATGGGGGCCCATTGCTGCTTTGCCAAAAAAGAGTCAGGATTTGTAGCTCGGAATTGATTGTTCCCCAATACATCATCGCTCAGAAACACCTCCATAAACTGCTGAGGGCTAAATCCTGTGACATCCAAATTAATGCCAGGATTTGCAGTGAAGGATGGGATGTCTGGCCTCTGGCGATGAGGCACAACCCACTCCTCAGCAGTTTTGGCAGCTGGAGTAGCACGTCTCCTTCTGGCAGGGGGACTAGCAGGCACAGATACAACATCACTAGATACATCACTAGCAGCAGACACTGTATCTAGTGATGATATATCTGAGCACCTGGCAGGGTCAAAATCAGGGTCAGAGCCTGACAGCGCAAGGGTGGCATATGACTGCTCAGCGCTGGTTGACTTCCGTGACCCATGTGACATGATCACAATCACTTTACTTAGTGACCTGTCACAAAAAAAAAAAAAAGACAAAAAAATTAACCCCTAAAAAAATGAACAGACAGCAAAATAAGTGCTGCTGTGCAAGAGCCTATGATCTGTATAGTGATCACTGGCAGGACAGAGGTTAATCGTTCTGAAAAGAGCTTTTGGGTCTCAAAAAAAAAAAAATCACTAAAAATGAACCCCTAAAAAAAAAATGCACAAACAGCAGAAAAGTTCTGCTGTGGAAGAGCCAGTGATTATAGTGATCACTGGCAAGACAGGGGTTAATGGCTCTGAAAAGAGCCTTTGGGTCTCACGATTTTACAAATCCCTACCTATAAATACCTAACTCTCTCTAGCTAAACACAGATCTCTCTCCCTCTCTCACTAAAACACAAGTGAAAAGAGAGAGGCAGATCCACACTAATCAGAAAAATGATTTTATATACATATTATTATATATGCACTGAGTGCCAGGACCCCTCGAGGCACTCAGCACATGCAGAGCATCACTGCAATACTATCAGAGCTTCCAGCGCTCAAAATAGCTGCAGACGTACCAGGTACGTCCAAGGTCATTATGGACCGTTTTTTGCCAGACGTACCTGATACGTCCGCGGTCGGAAAGGGGTTAAAAAAAGCTTTAGCAGCAAGTAAATGCAAAGTCCACCGTCTGCTCACCAAACCGTGGGGAGTGAAGTGCAGTGAAGCAGTAACCGCCATCTTCCTCCCTCTAGTTGTAGCGGTTCTTGCCGGTGTGTAAGCTGTAACCACGTCTGTGTTCCTGGTCCCGTGGTCCTGTGAAACGTTTCGCCCCTCCTCAAACGAGCAGTATCTCCTCCCTCTGGAGATCATGTTTTATTCAAGATTTCTTTTAGCCGTGATCCAATCAGCTTTGTAACCTCATTATACAGAGTTATGTTCGTAATAGTTTCAATCCATAAAGATAATATATTTAAACCTTTATGGGGCAGTGTGTTTCATAAGGTAAAATATATAGTTACATAGTTACATAGCTGAAAAGAGACTTGCGTCCATCAAGTTCAGCCTTCCTCACATTTGTTTTTTGCTGTTGATCCAAAAGAAGGCAAAAACCCAGTTTGAAGCACAATATTGCAACAAGCTAGGAAAAAAAATCCTTCTTGACCCCAGAATGGCAGTCAGATTTATCCTTGGATCAAGCAGTTATTACCCTACATTGAAAGATTATATCCTTGTATATTCTGTGTAACGGCACCCCCAGGCATAAAAGGGTTAAACCGCCGTTTTCCCCTTCCAGAGACACAGGCACAGCTACTGCAGAACACCAATCAGCCGAACAGGAAACCATTGAATGCTGTAAACAGCCGAATAGGAAAAACCATCCGAATAGATTTACACTCCTAGCAGTCGAACTGGAACAGCATACAATAAATCCCCCCAAGAACGAGACAAAGCTCTGTGTTGAGGGTCAAGCAGTGAACAGCCAGAGCTGTGGGTTTATTGTTCTTATGTACACATTCTTACACATTAGTACCACCCACAGGGTTTTGGAACACAACCAATAAACACATACAATACACTCAGACACTCCCACACAAAATCCTCCCCTCTGCCTGTGATGCAATTACCTTACACAATGGGTAATTTAATTAGCACAAGCAGAGAAATACATTTTTTCCACATTATTCATAACTTGAAAAGTATGCATCACATTCACATAACTTACATTTTCAGAATCAGCATACTCCAAATACAAACATATGTCAAAATCATACAAATTGGTCCAGTGGTTCAAAATATAGATCGTAGTCCTTTGTGACCACAGGAAGCATGGCTTTTCTGCCCAAAACCAGTTCCACAGAGTCTTCTGTCCTGGAGATAATTGTGAAGTAATCCAATTATCTCCAAGGACAGAGGCAAAACTCCATTGAACACATGGCAGCAAAAGACAATAAAACACATAAAACATATAACTGTGCAGCCATTGCACAAAACAGGTACATTCAACATATCCCCAGATAGCTCAGATCTGAGCGCACATTATTACTGAATGGCGCTCAGAGCACACACATACAGTTCAATTGCCATGGAGCCAAAGTCTTTCCCATAGTCTTTCATTATACGAATGGGCTCCATGGCATAGCTATCTGGGGTATCACCGCTCAAACAGGGCAAGCACCTAATGACCCGGCTTTCGTGTCTTTGCAGGGGAAAATCAAGCCTTTTAACATGGGGCCATAATCCAAAGACAACAGGCGAGCAACCAGGCTTCTCCAATGCAATGTGGCGAGATTGGTCTCGTCACATCCTGTTTTTGCAAGTATGTATCTAGAGCTGTTTGAACATCTGTCTGTCTTCCTATAAAAGAGATAGGCACATAAATTATGTTTCTAAAAAGTATTTCAAAAAAGGGCAATATCGCCTAACTCAAAATTTTTAAATAAAATAATTATAATAAGCCCAAATTAATAAAACTTGTTAAAAAAAAATTCTATATTATAATTATATGCATACACGGCAGCATAAGAGATTTAGGAGTAAAAATATCAACAAGTGAAAAATAAAAATCCTAAAACACAATATCAAAAGAAAATGTAAAAGCATATACAAATATCCAGTTCTCTAATCTGGGTTTTATCACGTGTATTAGAGATGGATTGGAGGTATTAGAAGATTAAAACCTGAAACCTAGGAATTTCTTTTTGTATATATGAACATTAAAAAAGGAGAATTATAAAAAAAATTACATAGTTTGAAATCCTTATTTAGACCAGACGGGGCTAGGGTATCTAATTGGAAGATCCAACGCATCTCTTCCTATCCGATCTTACGAATAAAATCACCTGGTGGTCTGTTTGATTTTTCTTTATAAAAACTATGGACCAAAGAATTTCTAAGATTTGGGGCATCCCAAAAAGTAATCTTTGGTTCAGATGTGAATGTATCACCCAGATCTTTATCTGTATTCAATATTGGCCAGTATTTTTTTTTTGTTGTTGTAAATTTTTATTTCTGCGGTGCACAAAGTTTATACAGGCAGGCCCCGGGTGCCCCAACAGCAATCCCCAAGCTTTTCTCGCTTAACATGCGGGTCAGATGAACAGTATGCACATTTTTATATATTATGAACGGGCTTAACTATAGTCATGTACAGCGACATTCTTATGAGACAGTGACATGGAAGCTTTGCATAATGTTATTTCAAAAGAAGGCTTAGACATCTATTGTGTGGCCAGTATTTTTTTATTATTCTTTTAATTGCTCCATGTTGATCATTAAAATCTAAATATTATTGGGACACTATATATCCTTGTTAATTATTTTAGTAATGGGGGGCACTTCATTATATTTGTGGGGGGATATTTTGACCCCCCAGAGTAAGGCAGTGGCATGGGGGTTAAGGAAGTGGTTTGGAGAACAGCTACCCCCTGCTTCTATTTGACATATTACAAGGGGTGAGCCGCTAGCTGGTAGTTCGTTCCTTGTAATAAATTCAATGAATGGTCTTCTTTTGTTCATTCGAAGACCGTTCGTTCTTTGTCATTTCTATTCGTTCATTTTTCTTTCTGATGAATATCGGATAATAGCGAATGTCCAGGGCATGTGCAGGAATTTCACCGTGCTATCTTGTCTGGACTTAGATGGCAGTGCCTAGGACCTAAGTCCGGTCATGAAATCTAAAGGTAAAAAAGTAGTGAAATTGGGGACCCAGGGCATTTTGAGGTGACTGGAGGGACAATTAAATGTAGTAGAGTTGGGTGGGGGGGGTTTAAAAAAAAAAAAAACGTATACGGCAATGACAGTGCTTTAAAGGGACACTCAATGCTGATTAACAGCAAGGAAAGAAGGGGAGGGGCATTCATTTATTAAAAGGGCCAATTTCTATTGAATTTAGCTCTTTTTGTACTATGAAAAAAGAGGACACACTCTTCACACATAAGCAAGCTAATTTACTTTAGGTGTTTGGACTATTTTAAACCCTTTCCTTGCAAAAGAAAAATAAAGAAAGTTAATTCAAATTTTTTTTTAAAAGAAATACTCATTTTCCTCAGCCATAACTTAATCACTAATGCGAAAAAACAGATAGCCCAAACCACTACAGGTGTCTCTTAGTGGAGCGCTAAGAAAGGCAGACTTACCCCTATATACAATGGGGAAATGTGCAGTAATATAATCCCTATATGATAAAAAGATATACACAATAGTGAAGTATATCAAGGCCCAATAACATAAATATGAAGATAGTAGGGACCACACTCACATGGTTAAGAGCCACATACAGATAGGCTCAAATCACTTCAACATAGGTATGTTAAGGTAATACCAAAACCTTCTTATGGTGTCCGGACAGTATTCTCACCAAAAAAGGAAGAGAGACAAGAGAAAACTTCTTTGTGCAGTATTATCAAGCTGTTAATTTACAAATATCCTTATGATATGAAGTAATTGCTCACCTTGTGAAGAGCCAATTATACTAGGCTCTTGGTATACAGATAGGTGTGTTAGTAAGGAGAGAACAACCCCTCTTGATTCCAGGAAAAACAGCAGAGGACTAGTGGGTACAAGTATACTAGAAAAAGGCACTTTATTAAAACAACAGACAATCTAATAATAAAATGTGCAGTAATACCAGTCCACCATATAGTCCACTTCCAAGACGCGTTTCTCTTGTGCAGCTTTATCGATCTGCATGCTGATTTCCTGTGTCCGTCTGGAATATAAACCCAAAGGTCCTCTTTTGGTTGGCTAATGCTGTATTTCAAACTCCAATCCTCTTCTTCGTTTGAAGAGGTGTGTTGTAGTCAGCTGAAGCTATTCATCCTTGATTCCGAAACCGGAAGTGACGCGACAGACCAGTACGTGACATCACTTCCGGTTTCATCGATCTCCATGTACCCAGCTTACAATCACTTAGCAGCCATCTTGTTTGAGGGCAAATGCCAGTCCTCTTAGATAGTCACACAGTTCCATATAACTCAAATGAAACCATAGAGAAAAAAAGGAAGAAATATCTTAAGTTAAGGACCATATATATAAAATAACTTTCAAATAAAACCATAATATAACATTAAACTTAAAGTTCCATATAATAGATGTATATATATATATATATATATATATATATATAGAACTCCCACTGTTTTATATAAAATACATATATCATAGGGACCCATCCATCTTAGTGAGAAAAACTAAATGGTTATAAAAAGTAACAGAGCTCAAAGTCACTATTAAGACCGTTTGGTTGGAGTGTGTTTAAATTAAAAATCCATTTCATTTCGGACTGGCCCATTTTCTTAAAGGTCCACTATAGTGCCAGGAAAACATACTCGTTTTCCTGGCACTATAGTGCCCTGAGTGTTGCCTCCCGCCCGGCTCTGGAAAGGGGAAAAGGGGTAAAACTTACCTTTTTCCAGCGCTGGGCTCTCCTCCTCCGATCCTCCTCTACTCCTCCCCGTCGGCTGAATGCGCACGCGCAGCAAGAGCTGCGCGCGCATTCAGCTGGTCACATAGGAAAGCATTATCAATGCTTTCCTATGGACGCTTGCGTGCTCTCACTGTGATTTTCACCGTGAGAATCACGCAAGCGCCTCTAGCGGCTGTCAATGAGACAACCTCTAGAGGAAATAGGGGAAGGCTTAACCCATTCATAAACATAACAGTTTCTCTGAAACTGCTATGTTTATGAAAAAATGGGTTAACCTTAGCTGGACCAAGCACCCAGACCACTTCATTAAGCTGAAGTGGTCTGGGTGCCTAGAGTGGTCCTTTAATAATGTCGTCACCTCTCCAATTAAAATTAACTTTTTGAATACCTAAAAATTGCATAAAATTAGGGTCACAATTGTGTTTCAATTTAAAGTGTAGTGACAGGCTATGTTTGGTGAAACCATTTTTAATATTGCGGACATGCTCTTGAATTCGAACCTTTAACGGTCTAGTAGTGCGTCCCACATATGATAGTTTGCATGTACATGAGATCATATAGATCACATGTTTTGTGTGGCATGTAATGGTTTCTTTAATAGCAAATTTTTTATTAGTGTCTACTGGATGTGTAAATTCTTTAACATTTCTTTTTGTACTTTTTCGTATTTTTACAGGCTCCGCACTGCCCACACCCATAAAAACCTTTTGGCTCTTTAAATGGGTTCTGAGTAACTTTTTTTAGTCACAGACTGATTTTGTGTTAAGCTATTTCTTAAATTCGGAACACCCCTATATACAATTCTTGGTTTATCTGGTAAAATTGAATTAAGAGTCTCATCACTTTTTAAAATCGGCCAGTATTTCTAAATAATTTTCCTTAGTTGTTTAAATAAAAGATACTATGTTGTCATCCATGTTTGGTCTTTTTTCTTTATAGTTTAACAATGCATTTCTTACTTGTGTATCCACTGTTTGAAAGGCTTCGCTTAATAACATTTCGTCATATCCCTTGTCACTAAAATCACCTAAAATCTTCCGTGCCTGTTCATGGAAAGTGGCATTATCGGTACAATTTCTTTTCACCCTCAGCAATTGTGCCTTGGGGGCATTTAAAAGCCACGGTGAATAGTGACAACTACTACATTGGATATAACTATTAACATCGACCTTTTTAAAGTACGTAGTAGTTTTAATGGTATTATTTTCTATATAGATATTCAGGTCGAGAAAGCTGAAAGTGCTCGTTAGTCTAATGCCCCACTCATTGTCCTCAAGGTGAGCTAAAAAGGCCAGAAGAGATGACTCTTCTCCCCTCCAGATAAAGAAGATATCATCTATGTAACGGCGATAGGTCACCAGATTCGCATCCCACCTGTGTAGATCAAAAATATCTCTGTTTCCATAATGACATAAACAGGTTAGCGTAACTGGGTGCGAATCTGGTGCCCATCGCCATCCCACAGATCAGGAGGTAAAAAGTGTTGTAGTGCCAAAAATAATTATTACTTAAAATCCAGGAAATACCCTCCAATAAAAAATCTACCTGCGTAGGTGGAAACTTGCCTGAAGCTTCTAAAAAATATCGGGTAGCTTCGCATCCTCTATCATGATTGATAATAGTGTAGAGCGAGCTCACATCAGCTGTAACTAAAACACAATTTTCTTCCCATCTAATGTCCTCTAAAACTTGTAAAATGTTCAGGGTGGCTTTCAGGTAGCTTGGGCATTTTTGGACAATGGGTTGTAGGCAATTATCAATGTACTGTGATAACCTACTAGAAATCGAACCTATGCCCGAAATTATCGGGCGTCCTGGTGGCTTTGTTAGACTCTTGTGAATTTTCGGAAGAAAATAAAACATGGGGATTTTTGGATGTTGTACATTTAAAAACTCATACTCTTTTTTGTTTAAGATACCACTAGATTTGTCCCTATCAATAAATTGATACAGAATATATGAATGTAGCGCTTATTATAAAGAAAAGAAAAGAATGAATCACCTTGCAGAGCTGTTACAAGAAGATTATCCTAACAGGTACATCAAATGGATATCTGTAAAAAGCAATCATACATAGTGCAGATCATACAATATAGAATAATAAAAAAGGTCTAATTAATTAAACTCACAAACGTGGACCTGTGGGCCCAGCTCCAGTTTAATGCGTCTTTGTATCCGTTTATGCGATCCACCCCTATTGCCGATACTTTTCTTATTCTATAAAACAAAATAGGGGGCACAACCAATTTCGCAGTATTGCTTAAACATATATGTAGTATAAAGCAATAAATTCTTGAGAATGAATACTCACAAAAGTGGAGTCATAGATTTATGACTCAATTACCCAGCGTTGTGCAGGCTAAGGGCTGCACTCCCTCTTTTGTAGAATAATACCGGGAACCAAGATCCGTGAAAAAATAAAAATAGTAATTTATTATTAAATATACATACAATTTTAAAAGCCTGTATAGACTAAAAAAACAGAATGCGTTTCGCCAATATCAATTTGGCTTCCTCAGCCGGATAGAAGTCGATAGATATCCTCAAGTTCCCTCCGTCGGTTTAAATATCTTCAAAAACGGCGGGTGAGTGATCGGTGTGGATCGTCATCACACGCTAGTGCCGCCCACAAGCACAGCGTGTGCGGTCCATGCCTCTCTTTCATGCAGGTACCGAAAGGTGCCGAAGTATTGTCATCTCAGTTTTTTTTCCCCCATATAATAAAGGGCATACAGATGTATTCTCCTCCAATCCTGTAGCATCTTTTATTTCTTCTGTAGTTTCAGAAATTGTCCAATTTCCTCGCAATGTTTTTATCAATTCCATAGATAGAGTGAGATAAAAAATATAGATAAAAAGTACAGTATCAGTCCATATCTTAAAAATGACACAATAAAATCATGTAAACATACTTATATAACTTATACAAATTTCATAATCCCAAAAACAATATAAAATCAGTAAGTAAATACTTTAATCTTTTTAAAATTTAATAAAATACGAATCTTTTGCAAACTACAATCCCATATCAATTATCAGTAACAAATTCATTTATAAATTTTCATCTGGATATACTTGTCTTTCTAGTATAAGGGATACATTGATAGTTAATAATTGTATCTAATTGTATATTTTATCAACATTGGTTATTATATCTCTGTACTTAAATTTCTATTTTCTTCAGGTTAGTTAATCATATACTTTATTTTATGTAATTTCCTATTTCTTGTTTATCAATACCTTTTTCTTTGTGTGTCCCTCCTTAGTATTCTAAATTTTTATATTGTGTACAGACTAGCTTCAAATTATTTATTATCTGTAGGGAAGATGTATAATTAATATCACTATAAAAAACGGCATAATTCAAAATCAGAGTTGAGGCCGTAAGCGATTAGAGTGTTCAGTTTGTAGATCAATTCCATCTCTCGTTTCCCAAATCTCTTATAAAATCCCCACCTCTCCAATTTTTTCAATGCCACTTTATCAATGCCACAGAAGGTCAAACCATCCGGTTTCTGATCATGATGTAGTTTAAAATGGTTAGATACACTATGTTGCTCAAAACCTGTTTGTATTTTGTATACAGTTTCCCTAATTCTGACATGTAGGGGTCTAGTTGTTCTTCCCACATATTTTAACCCACATGGACAGATCAAGAGATTTTAGAATAACAGGTTATAAACTGTTTAATTTGAATTCTATTATCTTCATTTAGACTGATGTCTTTCACTCTTCTTCGGGTACACCCCGACTTTTTGCAGGCTGCGCATTGGCCACAACCATAGAAACCCTTTTCATTGTTAAATATAGTGGAAGGAGTTTTAACTTCTTTCAACGAGCTTCGTACTAGGGTATTCCTAAGGTTTTTGGCACCCCTATATATCATCCTAGGATTAGTGGGAAGGATTTGTTTCAAAGCAGGATCCTGTAATAGTATCGGCCAGTATTTTTTAATAATTCGATTAATCTGATGGTTATGGGTATTATAATTACAGATAAAGGGAACATCTTATGTATCCATAATAATTTTATTTGTATAGGATAACAGTTCCTTTCTTTCTCTGTTTCTAATTTCATTCCTTGAATTCTCTAGTTTGTAAGCATTATAACCTTTGGCCATGAAGTCAGTCTTTTTATGTAAAGACTGTTCATCGTAGACAGTGAGGTCACTACAATTTCATCGGATCCTCAAGAATTGTCCCTTCGGTGCATTCTCTAGCCAAGGGGAATGATGACAGCTTATATTCTCTATAAAGCTATTACAATCTACTTGTT